CTGGACTCAAACTTGCTGCACAGCTGAGAATGACCTCGGGCTTCAGCTTTTCCTGCCTCTGCCTCCCAAGTGCAGAGGCTGATGGGTGTGTGTCACCATGCTGTGATCCTGTGGTACCCAGGGCCTTGGGCACGCTAGACAAGCCCTCTACCCGCTCTATCTCCAGGCCTGCCATTCTCAAGGAAATATATAAGAACGCGCCTAGAACATTAACTAGCAATGTTGTATCAGAAGTGTTCTTATCAACAGGAGTAATATTGATTGTACCTGAGCAATGGGCCCCCCTCACTTTTGTCACTGATTTCCTCACAGTGGCAAAAAAACAAATCTTCTCTTTCCCTGAGCTTCCTTCCGCATTCCCTCCCTTCCTCCCCCTACCTCTCCCACTTCCCTCCCTCGCTACTTCTTTCTTCTAGGCAGGGTCTCATGTAACCCAGGCTAGCCTCAAAGTTGCTTTGTAACCAAGGATGATCTTGAACTTCTGAGATTTCTATCCCTACCTTCCAAATGATGGAATTATAAGTATATAATCACACCCAGTTCTGTGAAGTCCTGGCGATCAAACCCAGAGCTTCCTGTGTGACTAACACACACTGTGCCAGCTGAGCAACATCCCCAACCCTCCCCTCTGCCATTTAAAGATTTTGTTTCCCTGTCCCTCAGCACAGTGGGCAATGCATGAGCCTCATAAAAGAGGAATTTGAGCATCATTGGCAATGAAGGAAATGTGAGAGTCGCAATGAAGCATCGCGTCTCGTTTAGCAGAATGGTTGTGGTCAAAAGGTGAGACAGTGGCAAGTATTGGTAGAAGTGGAAAGAAATTAAATAACCTATATCTTACTAGTGGAGATGTAAAATGCTACAGCTATGTCCTGGTCTAGATGACTCTCGAGAGTGCTGAGCTCAGTAAGATCAGCTAGGGATGAAATGTTGTATGATTTTACTTAATGTTCACTAATATTATTAAATAATTAATATTAATTATCAATTGTCTGTTGTGGCGTAAATGAATGCAGGCAGATTGTAAAGAATATATACAGCTTTACTGAAGAAATTGACTTACAGTACCTCGGTTCCTGCGGATAACAGGAAGCAGGGAGGGGTGCGCCCGGGTAAACCTTTGCCTGAGGCAAGCCTGCCCCCTAAGGGGACTGGCTTAACCCTACAATTGTTAGTATTAATTACATTGATGTCAATAATTAGTACTTAACATATTTATAAATATCCAAATTTGAAGAAGCCGAAAGCACACTGTGGGTATTGGGAGCTGAAGGAGAGCAGAAGAATTAGAAGCCACTTGAAGAGTCAACTCGTCTGTTTGGGAGGATGGAGAACTCTGGAGACTTGTTGCATGAGAATGTGCATGTCTTTCACACTCCCAGACTGTACACTTAGCACAACTAGTGTAGCGAATGGTGTGTGCTATTTCTGCAATTGTTAAATTTAAAGTGGAAAGGTGGTGTGTCCACACACGGTGGCGTTACTCGGCAGTGAAAGAGTGGAATGCAGAACGCATGGCTGTGACACAAACAGGCCTAAGTAAAGACATATATCATTTCACTACGGTAAATCTCTAGAACAGGAAAGTTCGTGGTGTAGACAGAGACCAGCACATGTCAGTTGGGATGAGAAATGCTTCCAAGAGATGAATTTTGTGAGATATAACATATTTTAATCCATTTTTATATAAAAGCTTGGAGGTTAACATTTTTAAGCTTGCTGGAAAGCAGAAAAGGGGATAAAAAATAGCTGTGGAATTCAGAACAGCCATGTTCAAGCCTTCTAGAAATATCTTTCTATTCCCCCCATTCCTGAGAGTCTCCCCATCTCACTCCCCAACTCTAGAACCCCTTTTGAAGCCCATTTTTGCCTTTATTTAGTCATTCTTCTCGCCCATCCTCTTTTGCTCTTACATAGCTCTGTCTTAGCTCTATTCAACCCCCACCTACTTCTCTACCTTGTAGCACAGATGAGCACATGTAAGTACAACTATGCCTGGAGTTTTGTCTTCTCTGATATCTGCGTGCATAGCGGTGTAGACAAGTGTTGTTCCAGGGTACCTGTGTCTCAGGAGCTATAACTATACTTTAATCTTCATGTCAGCCGTGTGAGGCTGTGGGTTCAATCCTCAGCCCCAAGGAAGGGAGATATTTAATTAGGAACACTGTGAGGGTAAAGCTCAGAGAGAGTTGTGGTTTTGACCTGTGGCCACTGGGGGACTCTCTTTTCTGATGACAATTACAGTCATGTTAGTCATCACAATGGTCATCACCAAAACTTCCCCACTATAAAACCACTCAGTGGATGAAATATACCTCCAGAAATGGCATCAAGTTTAGAGAGTTTCATAGGAAAGGTTTGTGTCAAATTTTTATAATAAAAATGTGAGGATAATTGTCAAACCACAGAATTGCCCAGAATTGTATTCATGGGTCAAGTACATACAATGCCATTGCAGTAATTAATCCAAATACTGCTACTGTTGCTACTATTTAATATGTATAAGTATATGATCGACCCCACATCATATAATACCTATTGACACACATAATAGCAAACACATATAGAAAAAGAAAAATAGATGAAACAATGATTAATTAGATAAAATAAAGTAGAAAAGTAGGACAATATGAAATCTTGAGTTTAAAGGCCTTTAGATATAATGCCAAAATCAGAAATCATTAAAAAGCTATATATAATTGATATAAGTAAGCAATACTTATACGATAACTAAAAAGCCAAAAGGTAACTTGACATAGAATTCCCCTCTGTATGCTGTAAATATGTTTTATTGCCATTGGCTAATAAAGATCTGCTTTTGGCCAATGGCTTAACAGAATATAGCCAGGCTGGAAAAGATTTAGACAGAGAATGAATGGAGTTAGGGAGAAGCCACATAGCTGCCACAGGAGACAGACACAGGACACCAGATGGAACTTTAACCATAGGCCACAACCACATGGTGATACACACATTAACAGAAATGGGTTTATTTAAGATATAAGAGCTAGTTAAAAATATGCATAAACTAATAGGCCAAGCAGTATTTTAATTAATACAGTTTCTATGTGCTTATTTCATGTCTGGGCAGCCAGGAAATGAATAAGCAGCTTCATCTATAATATCTGAAAAAATTAATAATTGCAATATACATAGTGCACCAGTAGTTTCAAAAATGTATCAAGCCTTCCTCAGCTTAACTTGTAAGACTACACACACTGCACTTATAGAAGATGGCCAAGAACGTGAAAGAAAATTGACTGTGGTGGATTAAGTCAGAATGGTCCCCACAGGCTCACATATTTGGATGCTTGGTTCCCAGTTGTTGGAACTGTTTGGGAAGGATTGGGAGGTGTGGCCTTACTGGGAGAGGTGTGTCATTGGTGGTAGGCTTTGAGGGTTCAAAAATCCACATCACTCCTAATCTCTAAATCACTGTGCCTCCTGCTTGCAGGTCAGATTTAGCTCTCAGCTACAACTTCAGTGCCGTGCCTGTGTGCCTGCTGCCGGGCTGTCTGCCATGGTGGTCATGGACTCTAACCCTCTACAACCATGAACCCAATTAAGTGCGTTATTTTAGAGGCTGCCTTGGCCATGTCATATAAGCAATATAAAATTAAGACATTTGCTTGTGAGAACCTGTGACTGACAAAAGAAAGAGAAATTTTAAAAAGTTGAAGACTGTTTTAATGTCTTTGTGTCTTAAGATAGTACCTAAAGATGAAGAGAAATGGGGACTTACACTGTTCCAGGAAACAATCATTTTACAACATCTCTGAAATGCTCATAAGTCAAAATATTTTAAAAATAAACATAGCCTTTGGGCACAAATTTAAATTTTAAGAATGTTACTAAGGAAATGATGAGCATTTAAAATCCCATGTTTTCTGCAACATTATTATAACAACGGGAACTTTTTTAATGACCTGAATTTTCAGCCACGGAGATGGTTTCAAATTCATAGAGCAGAATACAATGCATCCATTAAAATGACGTAGCAAATAGGCAGCTGTCTCTCCATCTGTGATACGAACAAGGTGGTGTAAAGGAAAACAGCTTCAGTTGTAAGCACTGGAAACGTTCAGCACTTCTAGGAATGTAAGAGCAAGTGAGAAGGGTTCCTCAGCCTTGCTCAGGAATAGGTCTCCGCTATGAAAATCAACCTGGGTGACCCTTGCCTTAAGACAGAGATCATGGGGGCACCCAGTGCAGAGCTCAGACAGGCCTTCACCCTCAAAGCTGCCAGGGCATGGTCCGAGGCTGCCCCGCCTATGATGTGCTTGAGTCTCTATGGGCCTGGATCTCAGGGCACACCCTGATGAGCAAACTATGCTCTAACTCTGTTCCTTGAGTAGGAAGAAGAGCATGGCCTGTGAGGAGATGGTGCTAACCCTGAGAAACTCCCGAGTCCATTGATTAAAGTGTCCAGTCCTTTCTACCATCCCTACCTTTATTTACTCCTCCGTGCTAGCTAGGCTATGTGCCGCTATTTACCCACTAAAAGCAATATTGTTCATGCTGTGTATATATGACTCATAGTGGTCCTTAAGGAAGGGACAAAGAGAAGAGAAAGGAAGGACCTGGTTAGACATCAAATAATTACTTGATCGTATCTCTATGTTTCTCCATATGTTTCTAACTTTCTTCTCCTCTACGAGTTGCTGTACTAGTCGCCATATGAACATTACTTAAGCCTTTACTGTCCCTGAGAATATAACCTGTGGCTACAGACATTGAACCTGGCCCTGACACTGCAAGCAAACAGAGAAGGGAGAATGATCAGCCTTCTTCATTATGCAAAAGCTTAGAAGTTAATGATCCAATCAAGCAAAAAATAAAAATCAACGAAACACAAAAATCCCGAGTTTGTATTCAAGGAGAAAAGCTGACCTCTCCATCAGAGATGCACATTCCAAAGCAGCAGAAATCTGCCCACGGTGCTTCCTGCTCAGCCGGGCAGGTTCAGGCAGCAGCAGGCTCAGCCCATGTGAGATGTCTCCTCCCAATCACAGACCACCCTTCCCTGGGACTGCAGTTCCAGAGAAGGCAGTGGGGTAGAAAAGCACCTTTGGCTGGTGTGCAGAGTGAGTCGGTGGAGCCCAGAACCAGCAGGCAAAGGGAGCAGAGACCGCCGAGCAGCCACTGTGTAAGTACTGGAACGTCTCAGAGAAGCCCACTGGACACTCCGGGCTCTCCTGGGAGCTAGGAGGTGGGGTTTGATGAGTCTGTCCTGTTTGTAGTTTGAGATCTTGCAACGATTCTGGGAAATTCTCTTTCGATAATTACTTGTCCCCTTACCTGACAAAAAGTTTCCTATTCTTCTGATAAATCATTTGGTCTGACAAGCCTTGAAAGGATTAGGGAGGCAGTTTCTTTGCGGGTCTTCCCTCTAAACAGTTCTGCTTTGATTGGTGTGTGGTCTGGAATAAGTCAGCCAATTAGTTTTATCTAATCAAGGCCACTTTTACCGGACTGATTCTTACTGTTCCACTGAGTTGATCCACCAGGATCGGCAGGTTTTAGATACACGTATTTCTGTTCTAATATTTTTTTACGCAAACAAGTTGTTTCAAGTAACACTAGTATTATTATTATTAGATGTTTATACTTTTATGATTCTGTTTATAAGCCTAAATTTTCATTTATCAGTAGCTTTAGGAATTTTTAAGAACATTTTTGAATTTGAATTAATTTTAAGGTCTTTATAAAAAGTCAAGGCACTTGGTTGTTGGCTGTTTCTTGCTGGGAGAACTGATAAGCACAGCAGGCAAGGAGGCAATATGCGTCCTGCTTGTGCATTATCTCATTGTTATAGGTAATGTGGTTGCTGTGCTTTTCCTAGGTTTTTGAGGAAGTAGTTCTCCTTTTGGTTCATCTTCCTAGTAAGTGTAATAATGTCTTTTTCCCCTTCCCCTTACAGCACACTGTTTTGCTTTGTGCTATACTAGGCTTCCGAAATCAACTTTCCTATATTTTTAACTACCGAGAAAGACTCACAAACATTTAGCAAAAGAAGTTAAGCACCAGTTAGGCAAAAAGTAAGTGAAACGTCAAATTTTGTTTTCTCACCCTTGCTTACATTCTGAGCAACAGCATCGATCAAGCCCAGGATCCACTGTGCCCTGCTCTGGAATCCGGGCCTGATGGCCCTGCAGGCCGCGCACAAACCTGATGAGCCACAAGCTTCCTAACTGGGACAGAGACCACACGGATGAGGAGGGTCCTGCTTCGTCTTTCTCTTTCTCACCCTCTCTTTTCTTTCCTCCCTCCCATTTTCCTAATCCAAATTTCTCTAGCATGAGTTTGAGGTGTGGTTTGTGTATTCTCTGGTGCCAGACACTTGAGTAAGTAGAAGAGGCAATGAACTTGAAAAGACGACCTCATGAGTGGTAGGCGAGCCTCATCTCTCTCCTGCTTTGGACATTGGTTTGTTTAGTGAGCAATTGTTTTTAAACCTATCCAGCGTGTCTGAAGATATCAACACCCCGGGTATGAATAACTTCATAAGAAAACAAACTTAAAGAAGGCACAAGAAAAGGGGAATAAAAGAAAGAAATACATTTTCAACCTCTTAAAAAAACCAGTGCTTCTAAAAGCAAAGGGCCTCCCAGGTGTTGAGCAATGAAATCATAGAGATGCCGGGTCACCTGGACATTCTTCATTAGGGTAGGACTCACAGGGCCCCCTTACATGGAAACACGCAAGGTGAGGCGCACAGTCGGCCAACAGTGCCATCGCTGCTAGTGTACACAGCTATTTCTCTGCTTCTGCTACTGTAGGACTCTTATGTAACTCGCCCCACCTACCTGTTTCTTTTCTAGTACTTCCAGGTAGAGAACCTTAACCTGGTGAGGAAAGTGGTATGTGAGGATGATATGAAGAGCTTCAGAAAGTCATGACTGTGAGCCAGCCTCTAATGCTGGGTGTTCAACAGAAGGCAAGACGAGAGGACATGTCACATCTCTGGGAGTCAACTCTCCAGAGAGAAAGACCCAAGCCGCAGGTGTGCCCGTGTTCCCGTGCACACTAGCTCTCTCTCTCCCCCTCTCTCTCCCCTCTCTCTCTCTCTCTCTCTCTCTCTCTCTCTCTCTCTCTCTCTCTCTCTCTCTCTCTCTCTCCCTCTGTGAGTGTGTGCCACCCTCTTTTCCCTCCTCTCCCTCCCTCTCTTTACCTTTTCTTTTTGTCATTGTTGTTTTACGTTTTCCTAGACAGGTACACTGCCACTGAGCTACATCCCCAGCCTTGTTTTATGTTTTGAAACAGGGTCTCTCATAATGTAGCCCAGACTGGCTTCAAACTCAGAGCCCTCCTCTCTTGGCCCCAGAGAAATGGAATTGCAGACACAGACATGAGCCACCACTCCCAGCCTGAGATTCCAGGCTTAGCAAGGAAGGTTTGTCTTTTTAAGTCGTACTTTTGTTTGGGGTCTGTGTCCTTCGGGCAGTACTTTTCTTCTCCCTGTGAAGATCAGTAAGAAGAAAGATATAATAAAATCACTCACCGTGAGGCATGGCTGTTGATGGCTCATGAGACTCACTGTGTTTCTCCTAGATGTTTCTGCATTTTAACCAGGGTCCAAGAGGTGATTCTGTATCTATGGCATTTCATGAACTGAAGGGAAGAGAGGAGAAGACTGAGCAGGAGGTGGGGGTGGGGTGGGAAGGTGGTTTGGGGTGCAAGATTCCCTTAACTGTGAGATAAAAGTCGGGTCAATGGCAAGGGAGTTAAAAGCCTCTCAATTTTAAAAATGAATGTAAACGACATCTTGAAAAGAAGACACATTAGGGCCGGTGAGATGGCTCCTCAGGTAGACACTTGCCTAGCAAGTCTGGTGACTTAAGTTCAATTCTGAGAGCCCAAGGAAGAAAGAGAGAACCAACTCCCACAGGTTATCCTCTGACCTCCGTACACAGGTGATAGCATGCTCATACCCATATTCACACAACACACACACACACACACACACACACACACCCTCCCTCTGTGTGTGTGCACTGACCTATTGAAAGAAAGAGCTTGATCTTAAAGAACTGGATTGCTAGATTGTGTGATTTTTGGCTAACAGTATGTCTGCAGAGTAGATGTCAACCTAAAAACTCAGAGTTGATCTCTCAGATTGAAACTCAGGCTGGGTTTCTATGCTGTGGTTTTAGAAAGAGATACTACTGTTTCTCCAGAAAACATGAGCATGTGCACTGACAGCCTTCCATTATATGGGAAGGCCTTCCGTGTGATAGAGGCTGAGCCACTTTACTCAGACTCTTCTGATGTGTCAAATGCGGTGGTGCACATTTTAATCCAGCACTTGGGACGCTGAGGTGGGAGAATCACAAATTCTAGTCTGGGATACATAGTGAGACCTCATCTAAAAAAAATAGTCTACTAACTTAAATGTTACGTCTGAATGAAGGAGTTTTCATAGCAATACCTAGACTGGTATTTTGAGGCAAGAAAACAAAACAAACAAAATCTAGGCACCAGGTCCTCCCCTAGTTGACACATATTATTAGCCATCACAGGAAGAGGAGAGAGGGTTCAGGAGTTCAAAACACTTGAGGCTTTTTCACAAAACCCAGGTTAGGTCGGATTATCAGTACCCATATGGTGGCCCACAACCACCCATCTTGTGTCACAACATCTGACACCCTCTTCTGACGTCAGAGGGCACCAGGCATGCATACGGTGTGCATACATACTTGCACACAAAAGACTCACCCACATGAGATAAATAAATCTTCCTAAAATAAATAAATAAATAAATCTTCCTAAAAATTATTTAATCAACCCTTACAAGAAGTATATTCTGCATTTCTTTATCAAACCTGCAAAGAGAACAATTCGTATTCTGTGTGTGGAGAAATGTCCATTTGTTCTTCCATACTTCTTTCTCTTCTTGGAAAGGGAAGACTTTCATAGTGTCTTTTAAAACATAACTACCAGGGGACTCGAGAGATGGCTCAGTGGTTAAAAGCACTGGCTTCACATCTAGAGGACCTCAGTTCTGTTCCCAACAACACAGCAGTTCACATCTGTCTGTAACTCCAGTCCTAGGGGATTTGACCTTTCTGGACTCTGTGAACACCAGGCACGAACATGGTACGCAGACAGACATGCAGACAAAACACCCACACACATAAAATAAAAATAAAAGGGTTTTTAAAAAAAAAAAACTAAAAATAACTCAAAATAGAACTTCATCAAACCTTTTGGTTTTAAGCCAAAACATGTACCAGTCAGCCCTTTTCTCCAGAATTTGTTTATTTTGGAAATAGGGTTTCACATAACCCAGGATGACTAGGAACTCACTCTGTAGTTGAGGAAGATTTTGGTCTTTGATTCTCCTGCCTCTGCTTCCCGGTGCTGAGATAATAGGCGCGTATCACATCTGGTTTTATTGGGTGCATGGACTGGAACCCAGAGCACTGTCTGGGGAAGCAAGCACTCTACCCACTGAGCAAATCCCAGCCCCCGGGCATACATGAGCCTTCACACAAATACTGTCACCTTCTCTCTCAGTACCAGGAGTGCGTCTTTTCCCAGAGAGCCTTCTGGCTGGGAATGACAGAAGCAAGTTCACCTGTCCATGCTCCGGGAACAATTTCCAGACATCCTGCATTGAATCAGGGCCCCTTTGCACAGAGACAGCATGCTGTCAACTTCTGTTGTGGCCGGGGCTTTTTAATCACACCCCATAAATCCTCTGGGTGATTGCCTTCTGAGCATTGGGATCTGCTTACATCTTCCCTGTTAGTCCAAGAACCCTGGTTTTGGACAAGATGGAGAGCGGGATGCTCTGAGGTCACAGACTCCCCACTCCCCTTCCAGCTGAAGAAGATCGTTTTGATCTGTTCAAATATATTGGAGTCCATATTGAAATCATATATCTTTGTTTCCTTTGAAATGACGGCTGTGTTGTTTTATTTTTATTTATTTATTTTTTTTAATGAAGACACTGGTTTGATTGCCTTCGATGTTTCCTGACTTGTTAGATCTGGTCTGTCTGCTTCAAGAAGCTGAGGCAAAAGCCAAGAAAATTAAGATTAGCTAGGCAGCCAAAATGGTATGAGATCTTTGCAAATTCTCACTTAATTTTTACAGAACTCTTGATACAGGGCTTTACAATTCTCATTAACAGATAAGGCTCAA